CTCTGGTTGGGTGTGGCTCACATCTCTGTTCAAATTTGTTTCCAATAAACATTTCCTTTGGACTTCCTTTAGTACATGTACTCATGAATTCTATATACAACATTATCCCTTCAAAATCTATGAGAATCTTTCTGACCCGATTTTTCATATTTATTTTTCCACAGAAAACATTTATAGTTTGATCCAATAGACATCTGTAATTTTTATATTCTTAAGGAATGTACCTAGATCTAACATTGACTGCTTATCAATTGTAACCGTTATTGATTTGTAGCTATGATGTTTCAAGTGTCTGACCAACAACTGAAGAACTAAATTTGGTTATCACAGTGATTTTCCTGATAGTAAGACCCACTATATTACTTCTGGTATCAGGTCAGAAATTATTGAGACACAATATTTTCCTCTTTCCATTCTCTTCCCTATTTCAACACTAACCCAAAATTTACAAAAAAAACCCAACATGTCAAGATTCACATGCATTTTATAGGATGAACGTGCAACCAGTCTGCTATAGAAACTGCCTTTTGACCCCTTACCACATAAAGCAAAACATTTTCATTGCTCCTTCTGAATACATATTTTATAGCTTGTTTTTTATTGCAGAGATGTAGCCAATCAACATCTAAAATTTTGAAACTGTGCACATTATTTTACAAGATAAAAATATAACAAATATTTGTTCATTTCAAATATTAAATATAAGCACTGAAAATTGAACGTGGTTCAATGGAACATCAGTTTCATCATATTTAAACTAGTAAGCTAGAAAGACTTTCTGGTTTAAATGCATTCAAGTTTAATCAGTACTGACAGACCACTTAGAAAAGTGCTTTTCTAAAATATAAAAGAGCAAACTATATATACATTCATCAGAAATAACACATCAGGAAACTGAAAGAGGGCATTAGAAGATAGAGCTGTTCAATCTTAAATGTTATAATCTTTTTTTTCTTTCTCTCTCCCTCACACACACACACACAAACACACAGACACACACACGAAAACACAAAGACAACCAGCAAAAGAAAGAAAACAAACACCTTACCAAAACCTGTACTGAAGTGTTCATGTCTGTTTCAGAAGCTGCTGCATCCAGACATTTTTTAGGAAAATCTGTAGGTTCCTTTTTCATATTTTTACTATTTGTTCTTGCCAGCATTCTTATCTGAATATTTCACACCACTGTAAATCTCAGCAACTTTATCTTCTAACAGAAGCATACCAATGATAGAGCAAAAAGTAAAGCTTCTGCCACCTTAAAACTGCAAAGAGAGTAGTTGTGTTACTCTGCTGAAGACTTCGTCAAGTTATGGTGGGAATGCATGATAGATAAAGGCCAGCCCTTGAGAAGGGGGAGGAAAGTGTGTGTGGGAGAAAAGGAGGTGGATCCATTTCAGCATAAAACACACCGAACAGTTCTTCCCCATTCTCATAAAATGAAGTTAATAATCATATATTTGAAAATAGTCTAAATCAGTTGTTTCCAAACAATTAAGTTCAACAATAAATTGAATTTATATTTGTAGGGCTCTTTCAGTCAAAGTACTTTTAATATGAAAAAGTTTTTGTCATGGGAAAAAAAGAGGCAGAGAGATCCTATGACCATTTAATATGTGGATTCTGCCAGCTTAAATATTAAATGTTAGCAATTTTGAAATGCAATACAGAATTATTTTTTATGGATTCTGCTATGGAACTGTAACATGGCCAATTTCTCCAGCTGATGTAGCTGCTCTGATTAGGTGAATTATTAGGTATCAATAATCTGGATTATATCAAAATCAGTATTGTGTTGTGATTGGTGAGTTGCAACTGGACAGAGGACACCCAGACCAAGTTATCACTTTTTACATAACTGCACTGGGTAACCCATCTCTTAGACTGATATTATACAGGTAGTCCTCGACTTATGACCAAAATTGAGCCCAAAATCTTTGTTGCTAAGTGAAACATTTGTTAAGTGAACATTACCCCATTTTACGACCTTTTGTGTCACAGTTGTTAAGTGAATCACTGCAGTTGTTAAGTGAATCTGGCTTCCCCATTGACTTTGCTTGTAAGATCATCACAAAAGGTGATCACATGACCTCAGGACACAGCAACTATCATAAATACGAGTCAGTTGCCAAGTGTCTGAATTTTGATCACATGACCATGGAGATGATGCAATGGTCGTGTGAAAAATTGTCATAAGTCACTTTTTTCAGTGCCGTCGTAACTTTGAATGGTCACTAAATGAACTGTTGTAAGTTGAAGACTACCTGTATTGAAAAAATTGGGAAGAATCTTATATGTAACACTGAATTCCCAGAAAAATAGTTATGCAATAATAAATAAACCACAAGAATGGTACCTAACATGTGGGGGTAAGGTATCCAAATTCTCTCAAGAATTCAGGATTATAAACCAAGGAATTGACCTTAACAAAAAAGGCATGCACAATAGGGCAGCAAGCACTATTGCAGCAAAATCATAGAATGAGAACTCATTCAGGCAATGTCTAACATTCATCCTGAAAATATCTAGAACAAGAGTCAAGATGTTCTAGTGCAGTGATGGCAAACCTTTTAGAACCGAGTGCCCTAACTGCAACCCAAACCCCACTTATTTATCGTCTCAGCCTTCGCCGCGTGTTTGTGGGACTATCGGTAAAAAAAAAAAAGTTCCATCAGACTTTCTAACTTCTCACGAGATCTCATGAGAAGTTAGAAAGTCTGATGAAACTTTTTTTTTTAACCGATAGTCCCACAAACGCAGCGAAGACTGAGAAGCGAACAGAGAAACAGAATGCAGCTGAAAGGCAGGTTAGTAAAAAATGCTTGGGGGAGGCGAGGGCATCTGGGCAGGGGCGGGCCCGGCAACCTTACCCTGCGTGGTTTCAGCAGGTGTCTGGCAGGGGGAAGGAAGCAACTGGTCTACCACCATGCTAGCGCCACTGCGTTGCTTCTCTACCCCATGCACAGGCCCGCCCCACCCCTCGCATGGAGCACCCTGCTCCTGCCGCTCCCCCCACCCCCACACGGCACCTTCTTTCCAGCTCCGACGCATCACTTCCTCCGCCGCTGTGTGGAACTAAAAATAAAGTTCAATCAATCAATCAATTCCAACTTTGTGAGGTCTTTTTTTTCCCCGTGAGAAGTTGAAATTGATTGATTGATTGATTGATTGATTGAACTTTTTTTTTCTGCACACGGTGGTGGAGGCCTAAAGCGAAAAGGTTTTATAAAACCCAGCTTAAAAAGCCACTTGCCCGGGGGGGATTTTGATGCAGGTTGCTCATGGACAGGACTTAAGGCCTTGGACTGGGGCAACGGCGCGCATGCCCACAGAGAGGGCTCTGAGTGCCACCTGTGACATGCATGCCATAGGTTCACCACCACGGTTCTAGTGAGTTTCTTGAATGATAATTGCTACCTAACTGTAGCATTAAATGGAAAAAGAACATTTGAATTAATTATTCTAGTTCATTCTCTCAGCGCATGCATATTTCTTATATAAAAAATATCATCAATTTTATCATAAAAGCAAAGATCAAGAAATAATAAATAATCTCTATAGCCAGAGCTTTTCATGAAATGTGATACAGATTATTTTTTTTTAGAAATGGTTCAACTGTTCCAGTGGAACACAACTTGAAACATTTCAAGTTTTTTTTTTATAATATTTTATTCGTTTTCTAATTTTACAATTAAGTAT